ATGTTTGTTTGTTTTTGTGTTTTAAAGGGAATATTAAACAGTAAAAAAACAAAAATTTCCTTTGTCTTAGGCCGTGTTTATGGTGGACCATTGCTTTTTATCACAGCTCCAACATAAACACGGTCTTACGCGGACGACAAGCGCTACGGTATACACGCTTGCTTGGAGTCATCGAGACTTCATGTGCGTTTAATAATTAAAAACCCACCAAAAAAAAAGGCCGATACCCATCATCATCATCGCACTAGTAGCATTTTTAATATTTTTATCACTAGAATCGTTACCGAGAAGAAATGTGTTGTTGAATCAGTCTTACCGAAAAATTATTTTTAAAACGAGTATAAATGGTTTCAATATAGAAGCAAAAGATTTTTTTGGGGGCATTGGCTCGTTGGCGCCCCCAAAAACAAGACAAAAACAATTTTTTAAATCATCAAAAACACTCTAACACTCATTTTTGTTTAAAAGTGAATTAGACAACAATTATCAATTATTATTATTATTATTATTATTAATATTAACATCGCTACAATATCTAAAAATACCTAAAATATAAGTTTATAAATTACGAAAAAATCACACAATGCCTATATTTTCTTATTATTTAAAATCAAAAGGCCAATTCACATAATAGTTGATGTGTGAACAGGCCCTTGAATCAAATCAATAACACATATAGGATTTCAAGTTTTTGGGCCCAAGGAAGATTGTTCGAATTTTTTTTTTTTTTTTTAGATTTTTTCTGTTACTTACACAAAAGCCTTTCAATTTCACAGACAGAGAAAAATCTTACGAGTCTAAGTATAAAAGTATGTGAAAATAGATAGGGACAGGGGAGGAATAAGAGTTTATGTAGTACCAAAAAGTGCCGTGCTCTTAATTTAAAAATAAAATGACTAGTACCAAAATTGCTTGTTTGTCAAAGCTACTTAATTGTTTAATGAATTACTTACCTGTTGATGTAATGGGGGTTGATGCCCACAAAACGCGTCAGGCCTTGGTCAGTGAGGGTTTTATAGAGTATCTAGCCTTACCACTGTAGTGGCGGACCCTATAGTTTCCTTGTGAGATTTGATATGATTTGACAAATATGTCACAAACCCTATAGGTTTCGTCACAACCTGGGGGCCTGAAGAGGAAACAATGAAGGTGAAAAATGTGACTCTGGCAACAGAGGCAGGCGAGACACCTTCAACCTAGTGGAGAATATTCTTCATCTTTATGGAAGTCTTAAGTCCATTAGTTAATCACGTTTGTATTAGCGTGTCAAATATATTTCGTTTTTGCTGCTTTACGTCGCATGTGTCTCCAATGTGCGCCTTGCTTATATGCGCCTTGCTTTTGGAAGCAAGGCGCAACTTGGAAGCAAGGCGCAACTATACCATGAACCCTTTGGTCATCACAACAAACGATACATCAAGGTATATTTTGAGTCGTAAATTTGAAGTCGTAGTGACCTTAGACAGCGAAATATGTGAGGGTTGTATTTATGGTAAAATGCACAGGGACAAATTTGGAATGAGAGAAAAAGCGAGAATTCCTTAGGGTACAATATTAGGATAATTTGCGATATTCCTACGAACCCCCAAATCATGGCTGCACTATTTGTTGACCTCTTGACAAGAGGTAGTAATACTAATATCATAAGCAGGAAACTCCGAAGCAACATGGATGACATAAAAGAATGGTGCAAAGTAAACATTGTATAGCATTTTCTCAAATGTCATTGTCTTACGCGGACGACAAACACTATGTTATACCCGCTACGGAGTATACGCTTGCTTGGGGTGATCGAGACTAAACAAATTATAGGATTCTATGACAATGATGTATAATAATATATATTAAGCTGATTTTTAATTTAAAATAAACCGCAACCCGCTAGCTTGAATCGTTCAGAAGCTATGATCATTTTAAGACGAGTGAAGACTAAAATCTTATGTTTGCCACTTTGAAGGTCTATTACTTGGACACTGGGAGATTCTGGAAATTCGAAATAAAACCATTTTGTAGGTAATTTAATTCTGTATCGAATGGAATATGATTCATTGAAATCGATCCAGGCGTTCCAGAGTTATGGCCAATTAAATGAGATCATGTCAGGCTGGAAAGGCCCCCTCAAGGATTTTATTATTTATTTTTTTTTCCAGACTTAGGAGACATCCTAGGGGAAAATGCCAAAAAGGTTTTCTGCTTGTTTTGACCTCCTATATACAGAAAAAAAATTATATTTCCAAAATTCGGAAAATTTTGATTTTCCATTTTGTGGGGTATAAAAGAGGGCCGGAAACTCCTGGAAAAACGGAAAATTGAGGGAGGAAAAGTGGGTTCCGATATTTCTCTAGGCGTCTTCTATGACGTAATGGAAGAGAATCCGGGAAATTTTGACTGATTTTTTCGCTGAAAAAAATAGGAGTTATATAACTCCGGCCGAAGAGCCGGAGTTATACGCTAGTCCGGCCCAAGGGGCCGGAGTTATACGCTAGTCCGGCCCAAAGGGCCGGAGTTATACGCTAGTCCGGCCCAAAGGGCCGGAGTTATACGCTAGTTCGGCCCAAAGGGCCGGAGTTATACGCTAGTCCGGCCCGAAGGGCCGGAATTATACGTGAGTCCGACCCGAAGGGTTGGAGTTATACGCGAGCCCGAAGGGCTAGAATTATTCTAATCACGGGGCCCAGTCTATAATTCTATTGGTCAGCGGATAATTTGCCAATCAAAAATCGGGAATATTCGAAATGTGATTTTCAATCGATATTCCGAGTTTCAGTTCTCTCCGATGTACCGGAAAAAAGTTAGCCACCCAAGGATTTTAAAAATTCCAAGTGGAATATCTCGGAAATGGTAAGTCGTAGAGGTAAGACTCGATAAGCTTTTTTGTAGATTTCCTCGAGCTCTACAATCTGCCCTTGAACAGTTTTTCTCTACGACTTACCATTACGGAGCTATGGCCGGTTGAAGTTACGATTTTCCTCATTTTCAAGAGTTCCCTGTGCTATAGGTATAGAGCTAAAAACCAAAGTCAAAATTTCGGAATTTCAAGATAGCCATTTTGTAGAAGGGATCCCAAAAAGTCCCAAAACCAACTTTTTTCCCCATAATTTTCCCATTTTCCAGGACTTTTCCCGTTTTTTTCAAATTGAATGTACCCTCTTGTAATTTTTTTTTTTCTAGAAAATTATTCAAGAGAAAATGTAAAAATCACTCCAGGAAAAATTCTGGAACATTGACTTTTTCAAGCAAAATTAAAAAATTTTAGTGAAAAATCACTCCAGGAAAAATTGTTAAAAATAAGCTTCAAATATAAATTCGGAGTGACCGAAGGTTGCAGTGACGTCGGACCTAAAACCTACCTCAAAATACTACAAAAACACACACACACAGCTACAAAAATACAGTGGAAAAAACTAGGGTGAGGAGGGACAAAACCAAAAAAAAAAAAAACTACAAAAGAAAAACTTGCAATTAACTGGTAATTATTTAAGTAAAAAATAAGCATTTACAACAAAAATTCAAAGAAGTAAAACAAATAAAAAATATTGTACAAGATGTGTGTTTGTTTTTCTAAAAGAACAATTTTCACCGTTTTCTAAAAAAAAAAAAAATGTCAATAATAATATAATAATTAATACGAATTAAACAACAATTATATAAATTAAGATTGGGATTTTCGAATAAACAAAATTGTAATAATTACTTCTTGGTACACATCCAAGGCAGTCAAAAAGGAACAAAGAAAAAAAAAATGATAATAATGATAACAAAACACTTGTCGAATGTATACCAAACAAATTTTTTTTAAAGGAGGCTTGAGACTATAGGTCTGTTCCAACAAGTCAAAACCACTCAGTATATGAATTTTGGTTTCTGCGCAAAAATTTTAGGTTTTGCGCAAAATCGTGACGGTTTTCTGCTGTGTTGGAACAAAGCTAATAATGAAACTAACCCAAAACTCCTCCAAAATACTAATAAAAAAAAAAAAATTCAAATTCCACTTTTCCAGTCTAAATTAATATGGTGGAAAACCCAAGTTAGGATTTGAGATCTTTTCGAGTTTTCCATTGTATTTTCTAACAAAACAACAATTACATAAATAAAAAAAAATAAATGCATAAATACGAAAATAATAATAATAATAAAAAAAATTGTCATTACTAAAAGGGGGGAGGTTTTTGGTCCCATTTTTTCATTTTTCTCTTCCAAAAATTATAAGTACAATTAAGGGCCAGTCAATGGCTGAATTTCAACCAGCTGAAATGTTCTTACCACTGGTTGCAACTCAGGCTTCATAATACCGGCCCTAAGACTTTCAAATAACAAAAAAAATGCCTAACTAAATCATTATTCGTCTAAACTAAAAATTATAAAAACAAGTAACAAAATGGGACCTAATAAAAGACAAAGCCCACATAATATGACACTAAACTAAATAATAAAAAAAAAACTAGCTACTAAAGTCTTGTTGCAGGAGCACTCTAATACTTTAAGGGTTTTTGTCCCATCATAGTTTTGCTCATCGTAATCTTAAACTTGGCAGCATCAACAAACAAAATAACTAACTAAACTAAATAATAATTAAAAAAATTGGTGTTTGGGATATATTGCATGCACCACACTCTTGCATTTCAAAACTTATAATAATAATAATAAGAGAGATTCAATCAAAGTTGTCCAAAAAGACTCTCTCTCTCTCTTTCTAAAACATTTTATAAGGGCACGGCACGCGGTTTTCAAATTCATCAAAGGTGTATTTATATATATATAAAATAGAGATTTTTAATTTCAGAAAAAAAAAATTGAGAGTGGGGGGGTTGTGACTAGGGTCGCTAACAACGTGCGGGCAACGCCGCAAATATATAACAATTGGCTTTCTATCATCTAAAAAAAGGACAACGTACACATATACGGCGAATATTAAAATAGATTATTGGCATATTTTTCTAATGTAGGATAAAAATATGCTCAATTATTATTAATTAACAATTAGACGAGATGATGGCGTTGCTGCGCCAACAAACAACTTGGCATCACTGCTTAACACTTTTATGTTTTTTTATCCCTGTTTTTATATTGATAAAAGTTTTTTTTTTGGTCGTTACAACAGTAGTTTTGAGAGGGGTGCACTTGGGTGTTTGGTAGAGGTGTTTTTTGTTTAAACACCCTGTATATATTATTGGCTTTTTGGGCTGATTTTAGAAATGTATTATTGTTAGAGGTGCGTTGAAGCCTTCTGGGCTGGGACTCTGTAACAAAGAGAGATATTCTCTTTATCTCTATTGATTTCGAAGAGAGAGAAAAAAACAGCAAGTGCCAAAGTGGTAGGGGTAAGAATTCAGGACGTTTTCATTCAACAAGGCAAATTTGAAGTCAATCTGAGGCTTGGAAATGAAATTTCAGTCTTCATAACAACAGACGGGCATTACGAGTATTTGAGAATACCTCTTGGACTAGTGAATGCACCAGCAGTTTTCCAGCGAACTATTTGGGTTCATTGCGATTTACTTCGGTGATGGCCTACCTTGATGATGTCTTACTGCCTTCGGTCGATATTGCAACTGGACTTCAACTATTTGAAGAAGTACACAAATTATTTGAAACTGCTAAGGTTGAAAAAATGTCGATTTCTAAGTAGTATCAGATCGATTTCAAACTTTCAGGATGTTTTCATCAAACAAAGTCGATCTTGCTTAGTAACTATGAGCACTTTGAGTTTTAGAATTGTAAAATGACATACTTTGGTTGGCGTTTCAGAAATTTTTCAACTAATTTTGAACTTATTAAAGCAAGTATCTCTCAATTAGTAAAGTTCAGAATATTTCTGAGATGATTTGAAAGTTGCCTCAAATGCGTGAAAATTCCACAATCTCCTAGAAAATGAAATTATTCAAAAATCACAATCACCATACGCAAGCCCTATATGTTGTTGGTGAGGAAGAAAAATGGCGAAGAGCGCATGTGCCTCGATTATCGTGCATTGAATAGAAAAACAGTCGAAGAAAAATTTTCTTCATCAAATCCCTATTGCCGATGTTTCAATTCCCAAAACAGCCTGCGTAACATCAAACGGGCATAACGAGTATTTGAGAACGCCTTTTGGACTAGTGAATGCACCAGCAGTTTTCCACCGAACAATTCACGTGATTTTGAGTTCATTAAGATTTACTTCGGTGATGGCCTAGACATTGAGACGATTTCTGAGGAAAAGGTTTTGGACTTCCTGATACATCTCAACTCAAAGAGCGCATGTGGAATAGATGAGATTCCGAGTATTTTGGTGAATATTGTAGATGCCAAGGCCTTCAAGGCAGGGGAAGAGCCAGGGCCTTCAAGGAAGGTGAAGATACACCCAACTTTGCGTCCTCATCACAGCTGAACCGCAGATCTTAGAAAAAAACTCAAAAAATAAAATGTAGGAAATTTTATACTCTTTCATTTTATATAAAATCAATATCTAACAAACTGAATAGGTTTCTAGTTATTTGATAAAAGCTGTAAAAAGGCACTTGTTACAGGGAGTTTCCTTCACAAAACCCATTTCCGGTCAAATTTCTTGTTGGCAAACTTGATATTCATATGAAGCAACCCAAAAAATATAAACAAACCAATTTTCTACCATTTGATTAGACTACAGCATGTTTTCAGAAACAAAAGTGATTTAACTTTTGAAAAATCCTGGAAAATACTTCGAAGTATCGGATCGATTTCAAACTTTCAGGATTCATTACCCAGCATGTTTTCATCAAACAAGGCAAATTTGAAGTTGATCTGAAGCCTACAAATTGAATTATGAGGTATTTTCCAACCTATTACCAGAAAAACTTGGAAAATTCACGTTAAATCATCTTTGAAAAATCCTGAAAAATACTTCGGAGTATCAGATCGTTTTCAAACTTTCAGGAATTATTAACCAGCATGTTTTCAACAAACAATGCCAATTTGAAGTTGATCTGAAGCCTAGAAACTGAATTATGAGGTCTTTTCCAACCTAATACCAGAAACACTTGGAAAATTCACGTTAAATCATCTTTGAAAAATCCTGAAAAATACTTCAGAGTATCAGATCGTTTTCAAACTTTCAGGATTTATTAACCAGCATGTTTTCATCAAACAAGGCAAATTTGAAGTCGATCTGAAGCGTAGAAATTGAATTATGAGGTCTTTTCCAACCTAATACCAGGAAAAGTCTGAAAATTCACGTTTGAAAAATCCTGAAAAATACTTCAGAGTATGAGATCGATTTCAAATTTTCAGGATTTATTAACCAGCATGTTTTCAATAAACAATGCAAATTTGAAGTTGATCTGAAGCCTAGAAATTGTATTATGAGGTCTTTTCCAATTTAATAACACAAAAAGTTGGAATATTCACGTTATATCATCTTTGAAAAATCCTGAAAAATACTTCCGAGTATCAGATCGATTTCAAACTTCCAGGATTTAGTAACCAGCATATTTTCAAGAAACAGTGCAAATTTGAAGTTGATTTGAAGCCTGGAAATTGAATTACGAGATTTTTTCCAACCTAATACCAGAAAAAATTAAAAAATTCCTGGAAATCACATTTGAAAAATCCTGAAAAATACTTCAGAGTATGAGATCGATTTCAAACTTTCAAGATTTATTAACCAGCATGTTTTCAACAAACAATGCAAATTTGGAGTTGATCTGAAGCCTAGAAATGGAATTATGAGTTCTATTCCAACCTAATACCAGAAAAGGTTGAAAAATTCACGTTAAATCATCTTTGAAAAATCCTGAAAAATACTTCCGAGTATCAGATCGATTTCAAACTTTCAGGATTTATTAACCAGCATGTTTTCATCAAACAAGGCAAATTTGAAGTCGATCTGAAGCGTAGAAATTGAATTATGAGGTCTTTTCCAACCTAATACCAGGAAAAGTCTGAAAATTCACGTTTGAAAAATCCTGAAAAATACTTCAGAGTATGAGATCGATTTCAAATTTTCAGGATTTATTAACCAGCATGTTTTCAATAAACAATGCAAATTTGAAGTTGATCTGAAGCCTAGAAATTGTATTATGAGGTCTTTTCCAATTTAATAACACAAAAAGTTGGAATATTCATGTTATATCATCTTTGAAAAATCCTGAAAAATACTTCCGAGTATCAGATCGATTTCAAACTTTCAGGATTTATTAACCAGCATATTTTCAACAAACAATGCAAATTTGAAGTTGATTTGAAGCCTAGAAATTGAATTATGAGGTCTTTTCCAACCTAATACTAGAAAAAATTAAAAAATTCGTGGAAATCACCTTTGAAAAATCCTGAAAAATACTTCAAAGTATGAGATCGATTTCAAACTTTCAGGATTTATTAACCAGCATGTTTTCAACAAACAATGCAAATTTGAAGTTGATCTGAAGCCTAGAAATGGAATTATGAGGTCTATTCCAACCTAATACCAGAAAAGCTTGAAAAATTCACGTTAAATCATCTTTGAAAAATCCTGAAAAATACTTCCGAGTATCAGATCGATTTCAAATTTTCAGGATTTATTAACCAGCATGTTTTCAACAAACAATGCAAATTTGAAGCCTAGAAATTGAATTATGAGGTATTTTCCAATCTAATAACAGAAAAAGTTGGAATATTCACGTTATATCATTTTTGAAAAATCCTGAAAAATACTTCCGAGTACCAGATCGATTTCAAACTTTCAGGATTTAGTAACCAGCATATTTTCAACAAACACTGCAAATTTGAAGTTGATTTGAAGCCTAGAAATTGAATTATGAGATCTTTTCCAACCTAATACCAGAAAAAATTAAAAAAATCGTGGAAATCACTTTTGAAAAATCCTGAAAAATACTTCAAAGTGTCAGATCGATTTCAAACTTTCAGGATTCATTAACTAGGATGTATTTATCATTCAAGTCAAATTTCAAGTCAATCTGTTCATTTTCAAAAGAGAAACGAAGACAGCAAGTGTCATAATGATAGAAATAACGATATCTATCTGTTACAGAGTCCCAGGCCAGGAGAGCTGGTGGCCATAGAGATGTTTTCGCTATCTCTATTGCCATTCCTTCTCTATTGATTTTGAAAAGAGACAGCAACTGCCATAGTGATACAAATAACGAACTCTATTTGTTACAAAGTCCCAACCCTGATGAGCAAAATAAGCTGTAAGTAAGTATATACAATTTCAATTATTGAATCAAGTTCCAAAATCAACCCACATAAGGAAAAACCAATTGCAGCGACGTTGCAACAATGTACTTTTTTTCTCAGGAAAAAACACCCCGTGTGCACCGTACAAAAATATACAATACAAAATACAAATAAAAATCAACATCCGACATCCAAAAAATTTTAAACTTAATGACGTGTCAACCATTATTATTTTTATACACAGACGCGCGTGCGCAAAAAACCACTCCGACAACGTTTAAAAAAAAAATGCATCAAGTAAATAGTGTAGGTTAGGAATGGGCTTACAATCCGATAGTTGGTACCTGGACGTACCGGTAAATGTACAAACGATAGTCTTTGCTGGCTAGTACCACGGAACCATCGTCCATTAAAGCAACATCAAAGCATTGCGCATGCTTGACTTTGCTTTCCAACGCAGACACTAATTGACCATCTTGCGTAAATATAGTCAAATTGAAGTTATTGTGGTTGTCTGCAATCAGGATTTCTCCATTTGCGTTTATGCCTACTCCAATTGGGTAATTGGTAATTCCTTCTCCTCCGATTTGACGCAAATATACTCCTTCGTAGCTGAAAACTTTGACGCAATGTGCCCGGTTATCACTTATGAAAATCTCTTGTTTGTCGTTTACAACTACTCCATTGGGGAATTCTAGGTGCTTGGAACAACCAAACTTTTGCAGAACTGAACCTGATTGGTCAAATATAATAACACGCATTACTTTGCATTCAACCACTACAATGCGGCCTTTGTTGTCTACGGTAACTCCACGAGGATGTTGTAAGATGTTTGCTCCAAATTTGCGTACAAATTGGCCGTATTGGTTGTAGATTTGGATTTGGTGTGTAGGTGAGCGTTCGGTTACTATAATGTCACCTGAGGTGCGTACTACAGCTACTCTGTTGGGGTATAAGAGTTGTCCATCTCGCTTTCCACACTCGCCGAATTGGAATTTGAAGCGGCCTTCTTTGTCAAAGATTTGGATGCGGTGGTTATTTGTGTCAGCTACAATAATGTCGTTTTGGGCGTTTACTGCTACACCGCTGGGTTCTGTGAATTGGCCCTCCATTACTCCAAATTCACCAAACTTGCAATGGTAAATCATTTTTTGACGTTTTATTTGGCTTTTGGGTGGAAATATGGCCACTGAATTTAGTTTTGATGTCAAGTCTAGTAATGGCTCATGTGATTGGGTCAAATGGTTTGAGTACATGTCGCCATTTTGGAATAAATTGTTGTCATTGTTTGACCATTTTTCATAAGGATTCATGTTTAAGTTTAGGTCTCCAATTGTAGTGGAGAAGGGGCCTAAGCTGTTGGCACTGCTAAAGCGTTTGCTTAAGATGTTTGACTCAAACGGACTTGTGGATTGGCTTTGGTTTGTTAAAGCTATTGGGCCATAGCTGCCTCCGCTGCTTCCATTTACGCTGCTACCACTTGAGCTACTGCCACATGTAGGCCTTGCAATTGGTGGTTGCTTGCTGGGTCCCAAAACTGCTTCAGAATTTGAGCGAACATACCCAAAAGTGTTGCGCACACCCACTTGTATAGCCTGGTAATTGCTGACAAATTCCAATTCGCATGCGCTTTGAACACTTTGATCCAAATTATTTGTCAATAGGCTGTTCAATTTGGCATCTAAAAGCTTGCGGAACATTAAAATTTCAACAACATTTGCACATTTGTTCAAGCGCTCAACAAATTCGCAAGTTTTATATATTTGGTCCACTGTTTCTTGGCCTTTTTGGGTTGCCACTGTAAGCTGGAGTTGTTTAGCACTAAAAACACTTTCCAATTCTTTTAGTAGTTCACATTTGCGCTCCTCAAGCATTGAACGGTAAAACTGGAAAGTTTCTTGTATTTCGTTTTGGGCCTTGTGGTACTGCACTTGTAATCTTGACCCAGAGTGTTCAACATTTTTTAAAGTATTCCTTATATCTGTAGCCCGGACTTTAGCCTCACCTACTGCATGATGTATGGCTTCAATTTGCTTAGGAGCTGCTTCACTTATTAATTCATACTCGTGCAACCCAGAAGGATGTTCCAAATTCAAACACTCTTTACATATTGGAACAGAACAGGTGCGGCAATAGTATTTAATAATTTCAATCTTATGCCTGGGACATTGCATGGCGTTTTTGTCTAAGACTTTGTCCTCCTTCAAGTCAAGACTTTGCACCCTGTGACCTTCAAAACAGTGCATAAATTGGTGCGCCATTACACAGTTCGAGCACAAAAAGTTGGCACAATCAACACACCTGGCAACAGCGTCTAGCTTCTTATGCTTACACCCAGTGCACCTTGGTACACTTGGCTCCAACTGCTCGGAGCTAAATAGAAGATTATTCAAAATGCCTTCAATTGATTCAGTGTTGCACCTGGGGCAAACAAGTTTGTTACGTTCCAAGCACTGATTGCAAACAGTGTGGAAACAGCCGAGCAATTTAGGGTCGTTGATCGGTTCGCGGCACTCTTGGCACTGAGGTTCCGATTGGTCGCTGTCGCGCGAATCACTGATCGGCGGTGATGATCCCGATAATGGTGAATCGTCCAAGGGGGACAAGGACAGGTAGTCTACGTGTTCGCCGAACGATCCGATCGAATTGGCTCTAGGTAGGGATTCGAGCGACGGGGTGGGGGAGGCCATCTTCAGTTACCCGACATCCCTGAAACAAAAAGAAACAGTGGTTAGATTATACAGTAATATTTCCTATTATTTGTCATTAATGGAAACAATCTTCCACTATAGCCACAACCAACAATTTTTCCAGAAAAAAACAAACAGGATAAACAAACAGTTCCAATTTCAGTGAAATTACTTACGGTTTGGTACAAATTTTGAGTCGCAGTTGTGTTCTGGGAACTCACCTTTTCGTCAATTTATAATGAACCAAGAGCCGAAGATTAAACGATAAACGTGACAACGTCGGTCCCTATAAAAGTTTTCCCCCCTTTTTGATTTGGCGCATTATTGTTACAGCTCCCCTACTCCCTCCCGAGCCTTTTAACTGTTTACATAATAAAGCCCGGTATGAAATAATAGAGGCTGTCTTTTTTTTTTAAGTGTTTGAAAAAGGACGCAACCGGTGTTCAGTGTTATTTTCGGCGATTGATTGATGGATATTTTAAGAATTTAATGGTACAAAATTTAGCTTGAAATGTCCACTTTTCAACATGTAAAGATTCTTCAAATCTTGGAAACAGGACAAAAAAACAAACAATCAGAAGAAATACATAAAAGATCCAATGGTCACTAAGGAAAGATGTTCTCGGCTCTTGATTGGCGTCAATTTTTGAATTTTCCTGGTTTTTGATTGGGTTTAAAATTGAATTTTTAATCATTCCCGGCTCTTGATTGGCTTAGAAAATGAATTTTTTTAATTTTCCTGGCTCTTGATTGGTTTAAAAATTGAATTTTTGGTTATTCTCGGCTCTTGATTGGCTTCAATATTTCAATTTTCCTTCGAATCTGGAAAACTAGTGAAGGGAAAATTTTGAAACTTTTTGTATGTGAAGAGGAAGGTGAAAAGCTCATTTTCCCAGAATTTAAAATGTTTCCAGTGGAAAACAGAAACATGAAAAATCTTGGAAATCAACCTACAATAACTGAATTAATTGGAAATACAGTTTCACATATTTCGAAGTTTTCCTGGAAAACTAGAGAAGGGAAAACTTTGAAACTTTTTGCATGTAAAAAGGAAGGTAAGAAGCTCATTTTCCCAGAATTTCAAATTTTTCCAGTAGAAAATCACAACTTGAGGAATCTTGGAAATCAACCTACAATAACTGAATTAATTGAAAATACAGTCTCACATATTTCAAAGTTTTCCTGGAAAACTAGTGAAGGGAAAATTTTGAAACATTTTGCATGTGAAGAGGAAGGTGAGAAGCTCATTGTCCCAAAATTTTAAATTTTTCCAGTGGAAAACAGCAACATGAAAAATCTTGGAAATTAACCTACAAAAACTGAATAAGTTGAAAATACAGTCTCACACATTTCAAAGTTTTCCTGGAAAACTAGTGAAGGGAAAATTTTGAAACTTTTTGCATGTAAAGAGGAAGGTGAGAAGCTCATTTTCCCAGAATTTCAAATTTTTTTGTAGTTAATCACAACTTGAGAAATCTTGGAAATCAACCTACAATAACTGAATAAATTGAAAATACAGTCTCACACATTTCAAAGTTTTCCTGGAAAACTAGTAAGGGGAAAATTTTGAAACTTTTTGCATGCAAAGATGGAGGTAAAAAGCACATTTTCCCAACATTTCAAATTTTTCCAGTGAAAACAGCAACATGAAAAATCTTGGAAATCAACCTACAATAACTGAATTAATTGGAAATACAGTCTCACATATATCAAAGTTTTCCTGGAAAACTAGAGAAGAGAAAATTTTGAAACTTTTTGCATGTAAAGAGGAAGGTGAGAAGCTCATTTTTCCAGAATTTAAAATTTTTCCAGTGGAAAACAGCAACATGAAAAATCTTGGAAATCAACCTACAAAAACTGAATTAGGTGAAAATACAGTCTCACACATTCCAAAGTTTTCCTGGAAAACTAGTGAAGGGAAAATTTTGAAACTTTTTGCATGTAAAGAGGAAGGTGAGAAGCTCATTTTCCCAGAATTTCAAATTTTTCCAGTAGAAAATCACAACTTGAGAAATCTTGGAAATCAACCTACAATAACTGAATTAATTGAAAATACAGTCTCACACATTTCAAAGATTTCCTGGAAAACTAGTGAAGGGAAAATTTTGAAACATTTTGCATGTAAAGAGGAAGGTGAGAAGCTCAGTTTCCCAAAATTTTAAATTTTTCCAGTGGAAAACAGCAACATGAAAAATCTTGGAAATCAACCTACAATAACTGAATTAATTTATAATACAGTCTCACACATTTCAAAGTTTTCCTGGAAAACTAGTGAAGGGAAAATTTTGAAACTTTTTGCATGTAAAGAGGAAGGTGAGAAGCTCATTTTCCCAGAATTTCAAATTTTTCCAGTAGAAAATCACAACTTGAGAAATCTTGGAAATCAACCTACAATAACTGAATTAATTGAAAATACAGTCTCACACATTTCAAAGATTTCCTGGAAAACTAGTGAAGGGAAAATTTTGAAACATTTTGCATGTAAAGAGGAAGGTGAGAAGCTCAGTTTCCCAAAATTTTAAATTTTTCCAGTGGAAAACAGCAACATGAAAAATCTTGGAAATCAACCTACAATAACTGAATTAATTTATAATACAGTCTCACACATTTCAAAGTTTTCCTGGAAAACTAGTGAAGGGAAAATTTTGAAACTTTTTGCATGTAAAGAGGAAGGTGAGAAGCTCATTTTCCCAGAATTTCAAATTTTTCCAGTAGAAAATCACAACTTGAGAAATCTTGGAAATCAACCTACAATAACTGAATTAATTGAAAATACAGTCTCACATATTTCAAAGTTTTCCTGGAAAACTAGGTAAGCGAAAATTTTGAAACTTTTTGCATGTAAAGAGGAAGGTAAGAAGCTCATTTTCCCAGAATTTCAAATTTTTCCAGTGGAAAACAGCAACATGAAAAATCTTGGAAATCAACCTACAAAAACTGAATTAGGTGAAAATACAGTCTCACACATTCCAAAGTTTTCCTGGAAAACTAGTGAAGGGAAAATTTTGAAACTTTTTGCATGTAAAGAGGAAGGTGAGAAGCTCATTTTCCCAGAATTTCAAATTTTTCCAGTAGAAAATCACAACTTGAGAAATCTTGGAAATCAACCTACAATAACTGAATTAATTGAAAATACAGTCTCACATATTTCAAAGTTTTCCTGGAAAACTAGGTAAGCGAAAATTTTGAAACTTTTTGCATGTAAAGAGGAAGGTAAGAAGCTCATTTTCCCAGAATTTCAAATTTTTGCAGTGGAAAAGAGCAACATGAAAAATCTTGGAAATCAACCTACAATAACTGAATTAATTTATAATACAGTCTCACACATTTCAAAGTTTTCCTGGAAAACTAGTGAAGGGAAAATTTTGAAACTTTTTGCATGTAAAGAGGAAGGTGAGAAGCTCATTTTCCCAGAATTTCAAATTTTTCCAGTAGAAAATCACAACTTGAGGAATCTTGAAAATCAACCTACAATAACTGAATAAATTGAAAATACAGTCTCACACATTTCAAAGATTTCCTGGAAAACTAGAGAAGAGAAAACTTTGAAACTTTTTGCATGTAAAGAGGAAGGTAAGAAGCTCATTTTCCCAAAATTTCAAATTTTTCCAGTAGAAAACAGCAACATGAAAAATCTTGGAAATCAACCTACAAAAGCTGAATTAGTTGAAAATACAGTCTCACACATTCCAAAGTTTTCCTGGAAAACTAAAGAAGAGTTAATTTCGAAACTTTTTGCATGTAAAGAGGAAGGTGAGAAGCTCATTTTCCCAGAGTTTCAAATTTTTCCAGTGGAAAACAGCAACATGAAAAATCTTGGAAATCAACCTACAATAACTGAATTACAGTTTCACACATTTCAAAAGTTTTCCTGGAAAACTAGTGAAGGGCACATTTTGAAACTTCTTGCATGTAAAGAGGAAGGTGAGAAGCTCATTTTCCCAGAGTTTCAAATTTTTCCAGTGGAAAACAGCAACATGAAAAATCTTTGAAATCACCCTACAATAACTGAATTACAGTTCCGCACATTTCAAAAGTTTTCCTGGAAAACTATTGAAGGGCAAATTTTGAAACTTCTTGCATGTAAAGAGGAAGGTGAGAAGCTCATTTTCCCAGAATTTCAAATTTTTCCAGTAGAAATCAGCAACATGAAAAATTTTGGAAATCAGCCTACAAAAACTGTATTCATTATTCTTTTGAATTTTTTAAATTTGACAATTTCCTTCAAGTAAATTCCTCACAAATTCTCCCAAATTTTCCATAAATTCCTCTAAATTCCCTATAAATTCTCCACATTTTTGGAAAAAAAATTCTAGGTGGTTTGCCCCTTTTAGGATTGTGTCAATCTGTCAATCAGCCTTTGGAACATCGAAGGTGCATTTCGTAAGCCGAACGGCATTCATGTGTAACGAAATGTCCCAAAAAGGCAGATAGAAGTGGGTTTGTCTCTATCACTAGGCTCAACAGTTATCTGGATTTCAAATCCAAGGTTGTATGGTGGAACAGCCATTGGAATATCGTTTTTTCAGCATTCTTAATGGCGGAAGAGGGTTTTACCAGTGTGCGTCCCTGACATTTCCGCCGTTAGTCCGGGGTTCAAGGTCATAGAAAAGCAATCTCTGTATTCCTTCTAATTATTTGTTATTCTGTGAGAAAACTGTTTAACCAACCATAATATGAGATTATTATTATTTTAATTAACAATACACGTAATTATTATTATTATTATGTTTTTGGGTGCATTAACATGTGCCGTTGATCTCCGATAACTATGAATTTGTTTATAAATTTCAACATGTAAATAAACAATAACTTTTGCAATGCGTAATTTGATATTGTCGCGAGTTCATTCACAAAAAGATAACACTGTCCTTGTTGATTGATATAAAATGAACAAAGACACATCATGCATCAGGCGCATTATCAAGCCCTAACGGCTTATCATGTATTTTTTCGATATAGCAGCACGCGTACAAATTTTATTGTAATATGTGCATCTGTCCCGGGACAGGGTGGGAC